AAAAGTGCGTTCGAACCGACCCCCCAAACTCCACTGGCCACCACATCCAAACGAGCTTGATCCTCGGTTGATGCTGACCGGAGCTGAAACTGCTCCCCAGTCAGGGGTTGGAGATGTGGCTCCACTGCGACGTTGTGGGAGACACCCTTCAATGAGCTTGCCAGTATGTCGCGCACCTCGTTGTGGCGGATCGAGGGGAACCCACCGAAAGGACAGGACAAGGCGTGAGCAGTGGTGAATGCCTTCTCGCAAACACAGGTGGTGGGCAGGCGAGAAGGCGTCCAACCGTAACGGAGGCAGAGGCCATCCCGGAATTCCTCCTTCGACAAAGCGAAGCCATGGCGAGCGATGGGTGGGCAGGTGAGCCAGCTTGATGCTCCCTTCTCCTCTGCCAGACTGATAGCGAGATCGAGTTCGCTATGCTCGGTGCGGAACGTATCGGCAGCTATCTTCATTGCCTTTCCGTGCAAACGTGCAAATTATGCTGGGGGCATAATACAGCTTTGTCAGAAAGCCTGCAGATGTTTTTTTTAAATACCCCAGTTACGACTCCTTGTCATAGCCCTTGGTGGATTATGCCGGCATAATATTTGGCATAATCTTGGGATCTCGTCAAAAAATTATGCTCCGGCATAATAATACGGACTCCAACGTGTAAGGTCGGCATAATCTTTCGGTTTAGACAAAAATTATGCTTAGGGCATGGCCGTGTGTATGCGTGGTTTCTCAATCCTTTATGTACAGCGTGAATACATAGTGGAACCGAGCATAATTCAGCATAATTCAGCATATTTGTTGGCATAATTGTAGCATAATCAAAAGCGTAATTTGACGATTGGCCGAGCATAGTCCGCCAATGGCTAACCCTAATCGCCAGCAGGCTTCTGAGGCAAAAGCTGCTGAAACACGGCTGCAAGTTTGAATGCGTACCGCTCGCACGCTCCTGCTTCACCGAAACATAAAATAGAATTTTGTCAGTTCTGTGGTAATCCTTCTTCCGATCCTACCATAGCGAATATGGAAGGCATTGGGTTTGAAATGGGTACATACATGTACATGTACATCATTATGCATCCATGATCACGTCCACAGACTCTGCCTCGCTAAAAAAGCTAACATTGAATCCCTTCTTTACCGCAGGCAGTTTTTAAGCTTGGTTACCATGCACAAATTTATTTTCAAGTATCGACGTTGCCTAGCTTCATTCCATTTCAATATCACTCAGAGTGCGAGACGCCCTAACAAAATTATTCTCCCTAAAGCAAAGACCACATCAAAATCGTTGTTTCTCTTCCAAACCTCCCTCTTATGGAACTGCCTCCCACCAAGACTAACTGCAGAACCATTCATTATTGTTTTCAAGAATGAGCTTCGCAAACTCATTTGCAAACATAGTGCTTCGCTCTCCGGTATGCCTACGCCATGTACATACCCCCCCCCCCCCCCCCCCGTGTGCTCCCCAACGCATTCACGCTGCACAACTTTTCACTACTTTCACTTTAGCTCATACGTGTACATGTACATGTACATGTACATGTACATCCTTCAAAGCGGTGAACCCCTTGATAGGCGACAAGCCTCTGGGTCATCCTAATAAAGATATTGAGTTACGAAGTCTGAAGAAAACATTGAACGGTCTCTGCTTGGATGACGACTACACCATAGCTCAGTGGTTAGAGCATCGCTGGCTACAAGCGAGGGTCCCTGGTTCGAGTCCTGGTGGTGACAGTCAATTTTTTCTTCAGACTTTTCCCGTTTGTCTCTTTCCCTCAAAACCAGTTAATATTATTATTATTATTATTTGAAACTCGGATGTTGAGCCATAAATAAATGTGGAAGAGAAAAGGACATATGGATACGAGTTAAGAGTAACTCTCCATCACTGTAACATGATACTACTTCAAAGTATATACAGTCAGAAAGTGCAATAACTAGGCACAAAACTGACAGAGTACTGAAACATTCGACGTCCTGACACCTAGCTTCAACACATCTCCGTAGCGCTAACCGACAGCCTTCCAACTTGGAAGGTTCAAGGTTATGGAAAAGACCAAAGAGGGGAAGGCAAGCGCAACGAAAACGAGCAAAAGCTACAGTCCCAACGGAACAAAGAATGTCGATTGTTACTGGACGATGACGAGACCAGTACGATATTTGACAAAGCGGTCTAACTACAATTCGAAGCAGCAAAGCAGCACACCACCCAACTTGGGTGGGTCATAAATATCAAAGATAAGTAAAGAAAGGGAAGCTTTGCGAAAACGAATTGTACAAGCCAGTAGGTGTCAGGACGTCGAATGTTTCAGTACTCTGTCAGTTTTGTGCCTAGTTATTGCACTTTCTGACTGTATATAGTATCATGTTACAGTGATGGAGAGTTACTCTTAACTCGTATCCATATGTCCTTTTCTCTTCCACATTATTATTATTATTATTATTATTATTAAGATCACCCAGATGAAATCCATGGTTAACCGCGACGGCGATGAGGTACATGTACATGTAGGCTAGTAGGCTCCCGCAAATCACGCACCTGATCGTGATTTTGCTCATTTACAATTTTAAAATTACTCATTTTGACTGTTTTCTTGTCCTTCAGGCTGATATCTATGGCAACGGCCCTGAGTCCGCATGACTGACTGGGTCCAGCAAGTCCGTCATTATAGCTTGGATGTCATCTCCCATGTCACCACCATTGTCATCCACATCGTTATCATCAATATCACTGGCACGTAGATCAACTGTATTCACCCCCTCCGCCGAAGACTGACCATCACCAAAGCCGAAGGCCGCAGGTGGTACAGATAAATTCACCTGCACTGCGCAAGCATGCCCCGTCGCAACTCTGAAAGCATTCCGACATGTCCCTTCCTTCCAGTCCTGGTCGGCAGCTGACACCTGGGACCTGGGGACCGTCGCGTCCTGACCTCTTGCACTTGTAATGTCGACACAGGTCACCCGAGGCTGTATCAGTGACAACAAACATCAGCCGCAGCCGCAGAAACGTGTGCAGAAGGGGTCCCTTGATTTATAGAATCTTTATTTCAGTTGATGTCAACTGATGATGATGATCTGAAGTACATGACATTGTATTTTATATTATTGCTACAATATACACTTTTATCACTCCCTTAGTATTGACTCACATAGATTTTTGCCATACCTAAGCAGTCAAATATTCCTGCATATTTCACTCCTTAGGGCTATATTGACTGCTTATATTTGACTGCTTAGGGGTTGCGCAGTTGAACGGTGCCTAGTGCAGCATTGTCACTGCATGAGTAGGCCGTGGTGCAAGCAGCAACGGTTGTGCAATCATAAAACCGGGATCCATGAGGTTATCGTTCTGGAATTTGAAATACGGACTGTTTGTCGTGATAAATCTAATATTGACTTCGTACTTGGTAGTGTGGGAAGCGGTCGGCCTCCATCAGCTGCAATCTGGAACAGGATGGCAATAGCAAACACTTCTGACATAATATTACAGTCCTGGCGAGACGACCACCCATCCTCCCTTCACCAGCACCAGCAAACACAACAGAGAGAGATAGCACGATGACAGCAGCAGCGTACGTACACGAGGACTGACAGACAGGGTCAGTATAGGAAATAAAAACCTCGTAAAAGACCTCGGCTTCGCCTCGGTCTTTTACTCGGCTTTTATTTCCTACATGTATATTGACCTCGTACTCAGTCAATATTAGATACGAATCAGTCATCTACATGTACATGTACATGACTGTAGTATAAAATTAATAGTGGAGTCAACAGCATGCTGTCCGCACATTGAGCATTCGAGTCAACAGCATGCTGTCCGCAGATTGAGCATTGGAGTCATACTGTAAAAGCAGAAATTTTCGGTGGTGTAATATTTTCGGTATTCGCCAAAATCGGCGGTTCGATAGAGGGAAATTTTCGGTAAAACCCGTTCTCCAGGTAGGTGTACTAGTAGTATACTACATCAAGAGTACATAAACATGCATACAGTATCGGTTGTACCGAAATTTTCGGTGCGTTTTATTTTAATATCGGTAAAAATAATAATTGTCGGCACTGAAGTTACCGAAAATAAAACACCACCGACAATTTCTGCTTTTACAGAACTGTAATACTAGTAATAGTCACACTCGACTGTCACTTGTGAGAGGTGTGGCGTCACAACCCGGCCCATGCCATACTTGGTCGCTCCGGCCTGGCCTGCAAAAGCGAAGAATGCACAACACAGATACAATGTAGACTGCGATGCTTTCACAAGATTTTCTGTACTCCCCATTTATCATGATTAATGGTACCACTGCACCAGCAGTAGGTGCTTGTACCGGTACTTGTACTTGTAGTGCCAGTACAGATCTGAATCGCGACTACAAGTAGACTTTGAGTTTGAGAGCGAGAGACCCTCATCAGGCTCATGATACATAATTAATTATTATGATGCGCTTGATGCGCGCTTGGCACCTAGCAGATACCGACCACATGCATGCACAAGTACGCAGCGCGAGCGCAGCAGGAGTCACTTACAGGGCTTGCATCGATTTTTCGAGTATGGTCCAGAAGAAAGACAATTTGATATCGGTTCGGATGGTATATCTCTCGCTTCCATACGATAAGCCAAACTTGCCAAATCGCCAATTGTATACTCACGTTGCCATAGCGACCTGCTGCGCTCGCGCTGCGTATTCGTAAAAATAGTAAGGAATAGTGGCCGAAGCGTGAAGCTTCGAAGTCACAAAATCATACAATGATACAACTAATTACTTACTAGTGCAATGTCATGTACATGATTGTACAGTAGTCGGTACAAGTGAGTAGTCAGTAGTCTTGATTGTAATGATTATGTAGATTGTAAATGCCATGTACACAGACTGACTGTATAGTATACTGTACAGTTCACAGGTTTCATTCGGCCCGGCTCGGCCCCTTCTGTCTGTAGATCTACTGTCTGTACTGTACTGGCAGGGTTATAAAAATAGTGGCATGTCGACAGTGAACAGGTGACAGGAGCAATCAGCTGCTTTCTGAGCTGCTTCATTATGATTTGCCGACACCCAGTCAGTCATAGCAAGAGCACAAAGCTCAGTGTTTGTTCACATATCCAGTTGGAGCAAGCTAAAAAGGACTCTTTGTGTAACACTCATATTGAGTCATAAAGTCTGTCCGTCGATCTAGCTAGGCAAGTCTACATATTTTAGTCATCGCGACCTGAGCAGGGTTCACCACGGATGCACTGGTTCGAGGCTGACGGAAGCAACCAAGATTTCCATCTATCCGGCCGTGTACCAGTGGTGTACAGGCTCGAGCAAATCCACCAGCGAACCCACACAAGGTAAAATCAATAAGCTCCCACTCCAGGGAACTAATCTGTACATCTACTCTCTAAAAAGGGGTTGGTTCTCTCTACTCCCTGATCAGAGATCAACACGAGCTTTTTTGGAGCATTTGCGGCATGTGGATCTGAAATCGGTACGGTAGCGTTGGGACGCTGCCCAAGTACAGTACGAACGCGAGTGCTAGCTCATTTTGAACATTTCACAACAATCATGCACCATTGCATGCTACACGACACGACAGTGCAGTGTGCAGCATGCTAGCTCTTGCAAGCTTGCTCTTGCTCTACCCATGCCATGGTGAACACGTGCCCGATTCTCCCCGAACAAAAAGTGCAAGCAAGAATGCTGGTCGGTGCCCGATGATCGGGAAACCCTTTCCCCCAGTTACTCCAACTCGTCGCGTTTGGGTGTTGTTGTTTTTGCTTTGCAGATAACGATAAGTGCAGTGCCGTGTTTGCCACAACTCTCACACTCCTGTTCTCTGTACAGCCCATTGAAGCAGTAGCTCTGACCTGTGTGCGTAAAACAGTTGTATCAAGGGCCCAGGAGCTCTTTGTTTTTTTTGCATTCAGTGCATGCCATTCATTGCTCACATTTCCACGCCGCTCGAGTCGAAGTCGACTGTCTGATTTATTGCTGGGCAGAAGACCACCCTGGCTCCAGGACGTTTCGAGTTGGCAGCGAGTTCTTACAGCTCGCGTCACGCAGCGCTTTGGTCATGCTGCGCCAACGTCTTTGTCGCCTCCACCCCGGGCTCAGCCAGAGCTGGAGGTGTGGAGGAGGTGGACAGCGCTCCAGGAACTTCAGCTCGGGTGAGTACCAATCATAAGGCGAAGTGCATGAGTACGGAGTACGAATCTACATCAGCGTGATCATCAACAATAATATTAGCTAGTGACTGTCCCTAGGCTGACCTAGCTCCCTATCGTCAAGATCAGAGTGGTAGGTAGATCTACGTCGTAAAAATACTCTCGGGTCTAAATACCATAATAAAATTAATGATGATATCCGACAAACGTTGCCTGATGATCGTAGTAATACGTGAAACTCAGAGTTGCGACACAGCTTCCAATCTCTCTCTTGTATCCTACAATAGCTTTTGGCCATAAATGGGTCAAATTTTGAGGGTTTTTTTACAATAATTGTTTTGGCAATCCCCCACGGTATACTCTTCCAATTATAGAAGTCGATTTCTCCAAAAACAAAGCAGGCCATAACAAGAATAGGATTTCGACCAGGTTTTGCCCCAACAGCACTGAATTGTGAAAAGCCATGATAATCCAGGCCGTTTCACTGATGATGAGTCCACACAAACTACAGTCCATTTCAAAACTATAGACGCGCAGTGTTTTTGAAATTATTTCAAATTTGGCTGGAACTTTTTGAGAATAGGTTTCGGAATAATGCTCAGGTCCGCTCCACAATTACTCTCATAATAGTTTCTAAACGATTGGATAACAGACGCCCAATTTGGAAAAATGTATGCACAAAGTGATCACAGATTTTATGTGGTATAGATGCTGGCATAACGGTTTTTTAACTTTTTGCCTAGGTACGCGTCTATAGTTTTGGAATGGACTGTAGTAAACAGTTCTGGCCGCAGATTGAGTAATCCTTACCGTAGTGGCCCGCATTTAATTCAGCCCATGTGCTTCTACGCGAGTTTTGCCGTAATTTTGAAATATTTGAATGTCGATTGGTCTCACATCATGTAGGCGCGTGTGCTTGTAATTGAGTTACGGGTACGGAATTTGGAAATCGCACATTAAATCCCGTGAATATGGTATTACGGTGGTGTCAGTGTGTCGTGGGAGTGGGTTCACTTGCTGGGAGTCAACAAAATATTCGGCACTTTTCGGCCTGGTTGTATTTGGCCGAAAATTTGTTGCGGCCGAATTTCGTTTTGCTAGGTTCAGTGTGATAGTGTAGACAGGCAGCAGCAGTACAGACTGAAAATTTGATGCGGCCGAAATGTGTTTTAGCCCTGGTGGGCCGACAATTTTTTGACTAACAGTATAAGCCCATGCGCTTAGGGGTCGTCGCAAAAGTTTTTTGTCGTCCCTGAAACGAACATGATTCATTTGGGGGGGAGGGGGTGCGAGCCAAAATCGCAAGTCGACCGACACTGTACATATGACCAAGAGTCCATAACCAGGGGGGTTATGGACTCTTGATATGACATGTACATGCATGCGATTTTCGTCGACCAGCATAGCAAGCTGTGTTCGTTTCAGAGGGAGGGGAGGGGGTCCAAGTACGAAATGAACGATGTTCGTTTCAGGGACGACAGAAAACTTTTGCGACGACCCCTTATATGTGAGGGTGCGCTTATACCCAAATACAGTCAGACCTCGCATAACCGCACACATCCGTTTTCCACAAATATATCCGGATAGTCGAGGGAACCGGATAATCGAACACACATACTGTATGTATGCATGACATATGCTGTAAATCGGTAACCAGCGATTTTCTTCCAGATGGCGAGGGATCCGGATAAAAGAGGACCGGATAAGCGAGATCTGACTGTATAGGCACATGCGCGTTAATGCGCGTCACTACAGGCAGGGCATTTCCCCGGAAGCAAGTCTGAAACCTTTTTACACTAAACTTCAAGAGCAACGGAGGGGGTGCGACTTGCAATCGAGTGTGACATCCTACTCTCATGGCCA